ACAGATAAACAACAAGCTAAATCCAAATAGTGTTAAGTGCTATGAAGAAAATAGAAAAGAGCAGGTTGACAGAGTGTATTACTGGTCGTGGGCGGATGGGAGGAGGAGGCAGAAGACAACTCCAGCTAGGGTGGTCAAGGAAGAACTGAGATCGGACTGAAATCTGAATGAGGAAGAGTGGCAATGTGATGATATGTGGGGACAGCACTGGAGGCAGAGGGCAGAACAAATGGCAAAGGCTGTCAATTGGGAACACGCTTCGCATGTACTGGAAGTGGAAAAAATTGGGTACTAAAAGAATATAGAAAGCTGGTAGGATATGTGAGTAAGCCAAATGTGTATGTGTGTGTGTACAGAGGTACCCAAAGGAGAACATAGAGAAATACACTATCAGGTTTTAAATCATTTCCTAAAAGTGCCATATAAATGGAGGTGTCAGGGAATCTAGGAGATTCTTAGATCCTCAACAAAATAGCAAGCTCTCTGGGGGCAGGGAATCTAATCTGGCCTGTCATTCTTGTTCTCACTTCCTAGCATAGTGTCAGGCCCTTGATAAATAGTTGGTGAATTAATGCAGGAAGAAACGAATGAATGCCCAAGACGGAGATTTCACTTGTTAACATTATCTACCTTTAGTCTGTCTCTCTGTCTTATTTGGCATTGCATCTGCACCCAAATACAATTGTATAAAATAGAAGAAAAATGCTGAAAATGCAAGAAAACCGTCTTGAAGGCCTTTGATAATGCTAAGAACCAAGGAGAAAACAGAGAAAGGAAATTGGCCAGAGCACGCTGATGTGTTTATATATTATGTTTTAGAGTGGAAATGCTGATTTTATGACCCTGTAATTTGGAGGCTAATGCACGTGCCACTTCTTGGAAAAGAGTCTCAACCTTAGGAAATAACGAGCTGTCATAGTCTTTGATCAAAGACGTCTTCCTGAAAATGCAAGATGCACTTGTTTAAAGAGAAAAATACTTTCCATCAACTCATGGATGTTACGATATTTGAAATTTCAAATTGCTTTGTAAATCAAAGATCAGCCCATTTCTTTTAATGGCAGGCTCTCAGAAAAATCTTGGGTGTTAATAATCAACTTAATGTAGCAATTCTAAAGCCCATCATTGACCTGTGTTTATTTTAATAAATCTTACTACATGTAGGGCACAACCGAGAGGTATTATAACCTGGGCAAAGACACTGATCTTGTGTAGAAGCCACCAAATGGGAATTGTAATTCACGTGTAAAAAACGATTTTATTTTTAAAATGTCAATTGTCATGAGACTGCCCCTATTTCTGGAAAGGTCTTGGTACATTTTGAAACAATTTTTCTACCTGACTCAATCCTTGATCCAGTGACAAAATTAAAATTGCATCTGTTATCTGCTCGCATACACCTGTTTTCATGAATATTTTTCTAAAAAATATGTACTGTCAGAATTATAGGGGAACAAATAACGGAGGTTTTGAAAATACTGTAGGAACATACATAACATTCATAACTCCCGGGTGACGGACCAATTGTTCATGGCATTTATTTGCTCTTTACATAATCAGGGCTTCTATGAAGCTAAACAGAATTCTCTGTGCTTGGCATTTGGATGAACATTTGGTGGGGGAAAGCATACCTTTCGCTAAGTTTCTGTAGTACACATTTACAAACAGTGCTTTGTAGATAAACTTCAAGAAATTTGATCTCACATCTGCCTGCTGTGCCTGGAGCTGGGACATGGTTGGGTTTGCAAGATGAAACAAATGAATGCTTATCAGTCCCCAGCCAAGGTTTTAGTTAATGTGCTGCCGGGCCTTCCCACCCCCACCCCCTGCCCCAACTGCAGTTAAAGATCAACTATTTGGGTTTTGAGTGCACCACAGCGAGACTACGATTGATACCATCGGGTACTGAAACTGCTTTGCTCTTGGGTCAGGCAGCCAGGCAAGAGGAAAACGGTGCCAGCCCTGCTATATATTCCTGCCTCTAAGGATGGCTCTGGGAGGCCCACACCATTTAGCAAAGGAGACCAATTCTTGGGTTGTTTACTTTTTATAGAATCAGGATGGCATGAATCAAAGCGAGCCCATTGGACCTTCTACTCAGGACCTCTCGCTATTAGGAGGACCTAGTCTAAGTGTCTCCCGGTAAAGTCTAGTGTATGATAGCTCATTTGACCTGTAAAGACCTTCTCTACTGGGTGGCTGATGGTTATTGCTCGTCCAAGAAGGATTTAGTCTATTTGTTATAGTGTGTTGCCAGTAAGCATATGTTATTTCAGCGGCTCCGTCCTGCCGAAGAGGCCTTTGTAAGTATACACATTCCATCAGCCCAGCTCTCTTAGTTGAGGGGTGGAGCTGACAAGGCCACAATGAATAGTGTTTCCTGCCTGTTGAGTGATATATGGATAAATCAGTGAGCCAACCGTGAGTCCGAATAGCTTAGGAAATATTCATTAGAACACCTTTCTCCTCTGGCTTCTGCAATACAAGGCAGGCTTTCTGAGGAGTGGAACAATAGCCAGTGTGGATTGAGGCCCCGGTAGATTACACCACCAGCTGGAAGATTTGTATATGAAATACGTGGCCAAAGTTAGGGACAACTGCATTGCTCACTAGACTGATCATTTGATTTGCTGACATAAAGTTATGTTTACACATTCGGGCCAAGATAATCCCATTGCCAGTAATAATCGTTTTAAAAAGGCAAGTGTTCCTAGGAAATATGCTTTTATTTTTTGACCTAAAGATCAGCATGTGATGAAGTTATAATCTCTGGAACACCATCATGTCCCTCTCTCCATCTAGCCTCTGACTTCTCTGTTTGCCCGGATCATAATCAATGCATTTATGCTGGTACTTTGCACAGTCTCAGGGACATGGTAGGTATTTAAAAATAATTTTGTGCCAGGAATGAATGTTCTTCTGCAGTTAAGGCATCTCCAGGAGCAATAGAGAGACGTTTCTGTCTGCTTTCGCCAGGGACGTTCGATAGGAGAATTGGGCATGGCACACATACTCTTCTTAGTAGTCTATATCACTCAGTCCCCTGAATCACTTGACATCTGCATTCTTAATCACCCGTTTTCTCTACCATTCCCAAATAAGCAGGCATTTGTGGAATTCCTGGTCTTATCCCAGTGCTGTGTGGGTTTTGTATTTTACTCGTGTCCTCAGGGTCAGCGTTCTGTCCTGTGTTCTCAGAGTCTCTGTATACGTCTCTCTTTGGAGTGCCTTGACCACCCTTTGTGGTCATAGCTGGATTCCTCACCTGTTTTCCCTTTGGACTGTCAGCTCCGTGAGGCAGGGGCCTGGATTTCTTCTCTATCCGCAGTGTCTAACATGGTGTTTGACCCACTGTGGGTGGGTGTTGATGTTTATAGGATAAATGAATGAGTGAACCAATAACAGGAATGAATGAAATGAAATGAATGGTTAGGTCATCTCTAGGCACTTGTTTTCAGATGTTGGCTAGAAGAGTGAGAGCCTGTGGCACAAGGCACAAGGTTATTGTAATTAGCATGTTATTTAGACCTGTCACCTGGCCTTGCCTGCTTTGGTGTGTGGTGCCTTGCTAGTGTGTTTCTTATTGCCAAGTAAGGAGCTTAAAAATAAAATGAAAAATGATCCTTACATAGGCATAGCACTAAAATTTAGATATCTGGTTGTATAAGTTTCCCAAAGCCTACAGGCTTTGAGCTTGAAATTAATTACATCAGACCTGGTAGTTAAATCAAAAATTTAAATGGCTTTTAAAATGCAGTTTGGGTTAGATAATACATTTGATGAAATGGCTTTCAGAATAAATAAATGTATAACTTTAAAACAATGAGTGATTTAAAGTTTTATGTTAAGTAAAAATAATACATGTGGTATTAAAGGAAAAACAGTACCAAGAGTATAATACAGCATACCCAGTTTTTCCTAGAGACAACTCTTAATATTTATATAGTTACCACATAAATCTAGGTACTGTACTCATACCTCTGTTCTATGATAAATCAACTTTAAATGACATGTATTGACATCTACCTACACTCCTCCCTCTATTCCTCCCAATATTTTATAATAAAGTTATATTTTTAGTTCTTCTGTTGGTCAGTACTGTACTCTTTAAGAATTTACTTGAGTTTCCTTTTCTTTTTTTAATTTATATAATTTCTGTTCTGTTTCTTGATGCCCCGTCTTGTAAACTGAAGATGCTGGTGCCTTTACTACATTTCTTTCTTCCTGTTTCGTGTCTTACCTTCTCCAGCTCCTCTTTTATCTTTTCACTTCTTCTATAATAGTATTTACATTCTGATTTAAAAGGAAAATTGAAAACCGAAGACATTAAGGGACTTGCCTGAGTTTTCTTAGCTGGTTAGAGCTGGGATTAAAACCTGGGGGGTTGACTCCTAGTGGATTTTTTACAGATAAGCTCATCAAATGTTTGTTGACTGCCCATCTCCTCCATGTACTATATTAGGTACCAGTAATACCAAAATAATAAGAAATGGTCTCAAATCTTATACTTAATAGTCAAGTAGGAAGACTAGATATGTAAACAAATAACTACATTTCAGTATAATAATGCTCCAGGGAAGCTGTTATCTAGTTTTGGTTTGGGTTGTGTGTGTTTTTATTCTATTGATCATACATTAGAGAAATTGATATAACTATTAGAAGTCACAGCTTTAACATATTAAGGAAGTAATGTTTTACCAGGCTAATGTATGCATGTTTGAAAAATAAGTAAGATCTTGCTGATATACTCTAAGGAAAGTAATTTTAATGGTCTGTTTTATATCAAATATGAAAGCAAAAACTTTTATATATTTATAAATTATGCACTCTATCATGTTTTATATGCTCAACCTGTTCTTATGTCATACTATCCAACTATTCTTCAGTTATCCTTATATATGCATTTAGTATTTTGATTTCCAGTCTAAGACTTACGTATTTTTTAATAGACCTTTCTTATGGTGATTTATGAACTTTTTTTTTCTTTCTTCCTCCCTTAGATCTTCATCACTGTGAATTGCCTGAGTACAGATTTCTCTTCCCAAAAAGGGGTGAAAGGACTTCCTTTGATGATTCAGATCGATACATACAGTTATAATAATCGTAGTAATAAACCCATTCATAGAGCTTATTGCCAGATCAAGGTCTTCTGCGACAAAGTGAGTAAAGATGACAGTTTGTCATAAAGGTATCTTTGTTATTAGATATTACTTTTAATGACATTTTCCCTTGTCACCTTCTCTTGTCTAGTGGTGTCAGAATAATCACCTTACCAATCATAGTGGGAGTGGGAGTCTTTCATTCTCAATTCCTATTAGATATCTAGGGAGTCATCAATCAACTCTATTTTTAGTCAGTCATTTTTACCACTCATTTAATGACTAATTGACACTATTGTGCTGAGTCTGATTCACTTATCATAGATTAATAGTTTTTACTGGATGTGGGTCCTATCTTAGAACATATGAATGTAACCTTTGTTATTCTTTGGGGTTAGTGGAGTCTCGTTTAGAGGTTTTTGGAACGGTGGCTTCCATAAAATAAGTCCATTAGTAAACATGCACTCAGGGGGAGATACCGTTTTGAATCTCCCTGAATCCCATAAGAGACAAAGCAATTAGAATAGCTAAGATTAAAATCCCATGGTTATGTGACAAGAGGTCTGTACACATCCCAAATATGAGTGGCATGAACAATTTCAAGACTTGTGTGATATTAGCATCCACAGGGAAAGCAAAGGGGCCACTTGATTGTCAAAGACCAGGACACCTACAGAAGTGACCCAAGGTACTCGCTGGAGAGTGAGGTGGGCCATCTGAGGTCTACCGTGCCATTTAAATGTTGAAAGTCCTGATTTACCAGTGATAGAGTGTACGGAGAAGAGGGTTTCTGGGAGCAGAGAGTGGAGATAGTCACAAGAAGAGAGGAAGAAATACATGAACTAGAACTGCACTGGGTTTGTGGTCAGGCAGCACAGTGGTAAATATAAAAAATCTAGTGGCAATATCTAAAATATCTAAGCGCCTTTCAGGTTGTGACGATTTCAACAAGTGCCAATCATCCAGCCATCAGAGCAGCAGGACAGTCCCAGGGACAGTGAGCTGCCTCCATGACACAGAGGCCAGTGAAGTATCAGAAATGGTTGTGTCGATGAGAAAAACCCCCTAACATACCAAAGAAAAATGGACCAGGGTCATGACATAGGCAATCACAAAAACACACACAAATGGTTTGAATGAAAACAAGGAGATGTATTCTTTTGCTTATCACATTGGCTTTTAAAAAAGCAGATTCCCAATTCTGGCCAAAGTAAGGCCATGACACAATTGGAATTTGTGGTCAATGAGGGTATAACGGAGTAGCCTTGGAGCTAATGCTTACGTGGCACTTACTCTATGCCACGTGAGTTCTGAGAGTTTTATGTGCATAAGATTTAAAATTTAAAGGTTATAACATTTTAACCAGATATTTTAAATATGTATTTTATGTTAAAAAAAACTTACTATTCATTCTTATAAAAATATAATTATTTTACAGTGCTTTACTTTTAAGTTTTGAGTTGTCATTGATATACATAAACCACAGAAATTTATAGCAAGAGGAGACTAAAAATATAGAAATATTTGCTTAGGAGGTCTCTTCAAGATATATCAAGGTTTTGTAGAGTTTTGAAGTTAGGTAACATAATATTTTCAGAATATTACAAAGTGAATTAACTGTTAAATGCACAGACATCACTTTTTGTATTTGAATCATTGTAGATTAAGGATTCAACACTTTATATTGCAAGTATTTTCACCAATCTGTCCCTTGGCTTTGAAATAATTTATTTTTGCATAATAGCAGGATAATTTTAACACTACCAAATCTGTCTTTTGTGTGTGATGATTTGGGGGTCAGTTTCTAAAAGGTTAGAGGATGCTGGCCAGTTCACGCTTCAGTGCTCCTTGAATATGCTGCCACACAGGGGAGGCGCTGTAAATGCGAAGCTGAGATGTAGTGTGAGGATGTCTATCTGGTTTTCACCTGTAGAGTATCATGAAAACATGAGCGCAGTCGCATTCTTCTGCATCACAAATGGAGAGAGAGAAAGGAAAAGGAAACTTGTGAAACATCGGTGTTTGGGGTTGAGGAGTGGAAACTGAGTTAGCAAAGCTGACATAGAAAACTGAAAGAGGAGAGGATGATCAGGGAATCCTCAAAAGCCAAGAAGGAAAGAGATAGAAGGTGATTCGGAAGAGACGCCCATGAAAAAATCAGGTTACAAGGAACAGAGGAGCAAAAGGAAGAGAATAAACCAAACTTTAAAAAAAAATGAGAGAGAGAGAGAGAGAGAGGGAGAGAGAGAGAGAGAGAGAGAGAGAGAAGCAAGAACAGTGTTGCCAACCAAACCAAGGCTGAGTTCTAATCACAGCCCTGAGAGTGCTTGGACTGACAGCGTCAAACAAAGTAGTTCAAGTAATAGGACTGAATGATATAAGACTATAAACTTCCCAAGAACATTGATTTATCTTCCTTTGAGCTCTTTCTTTTTAAAAAATATTTTTTATTTATGAGAGAGAGAGAGAGAGAGAGAGAGAGAGAGAGAGAGAGAGAGAGAGAGAGAAGGAAAGAAAGAAGAAAGAAAAAAAGAGAGAAAGAAAGAGAAATCGATATGAGAAACATTGGTTGTCCAGACTGGGGATCAAACCTGCAACCTGACCAGGAATTGAACCTACCACCTTTTGGTGTATGGGATGATGCTCCAATCAACTGAGCCATACCAGCCAGGGCTAGACCAAACTTTTTTCTATTTGGTTGAATGAGCACCATCTCCAAGACCATACGAACATATCAAAACAAAACATAAAATTATATTGTATGTACAAAGTAATCGTATAGCCTGTCAAGTTTCCTTATGCCCTCCCCCATTTCCATTACTGTATGATTTTAAAAAGCATAATCACACACATTTCCAATGCTGTATGATCACAGCAAGCAAAGGGAAAATTTTATAGGGAGCTCACAATAACTTCTCTGTGTCTAGGAATGAAGGTAATGGGCCAAGGCTTCATCTTAGGACATTTATTATAATTAGTAATTACTTAAGTGACTTCACTGGGTCAGGGAACAGGGTCTGGTCTTTCTGTAGGGATTCAAAGCTGAAGTTGTGTAGATAGTCAAGACACCAAAAAAGGGAGAAATCTAGGAGAAGTGAGATCCCTCAGCCTGCAGAACCGAGCCTGACCTCACTGGAGGATGGAAACAGGACTGCCTGCTCTCATTCTTCCCTTGTTTTGTCCCTTGTCGCTATGATTTGCATGCAGTATCATGATAGATGTGTTTTTGTGTGCTGTGATAACATGCCTGGCATTGTCTGTATTTGTCTTCCCCTCTCAGGGAGCAGAAAGAAAAATCCGAGACGAAGAGAGGAAGCAGAACAGGAAGAAGGGGAAAGGCCAGGCCTCCCAAACCCAATGCAACAATTGTGAGTGTCACTGAAAAGGGATGGGCTCCCCGGGGCCCACTAGGGAGCGGGTGGAAAGAAGTGGGCTGCAGGCGAAACTACAGACATGCAAGGGATTATTTGCTTTCCCTAGAGTCAATTGTCCCTGCGAAAAGCAAATAGAATCAATGATCACGGAGTGTTTGCGCTAGGAGGGACTTTGTAATATCATTGAGACCAACACTTTCCATTTACAGACAAGAAATCTTAGGACACAGAGAGGGATGGGGAGCTGGGTGAAAAAGGAAAAGGGATTAAATAAACAAGCAAGCAAATAAAAAACTCATAGACATAGACAACAGTATGGTGATTACTAGAAGGAAAAGGGGAAGGGGATAAAAAGTGGGTAGAGGGGTGATAAATGGTGATGGAAGGAGACTTGACTTTGAGTGGTGAACACACAATACAATATACAGGTGGTGCATTATACAATTGTACACTTGACACCTATATAATTTTATTAACCTGTGTCAGCCCAATAAAGTCAATAAGAATTTTAAAAAAGAAACCTAGGACACATAGAGGAACAGGGGGGCAGGAGGGGAACAGCAGTCCACCTCAGGAGTGCTCACTCGAAGTTTGAGCTCCTTCTGTTGGTTTGGCAGTGGGAAAGGGGGTGGGGGTCATTATTGGCACTTGGAAAGCTTCGTAGGAGAAAGTCATGAAATGTAGCTAAGACTAGAGCTTACAATTGAGAGTTCTTAGTCATGTGTAACCCTCTGAATTTTGGGTTTTCTGTCATGTCAGCCTCTGATGGAAAGTTGGCAGCGATACCCTTACAAAAGAAGAGTGACATCACCTACTTCAAAACGATGCCTGATCTGCACTCGCAGCCGGTCCTCTTCATCCCCGATGTTCACTTTGCAAACCTGCAGAGGACAGGACAGGTATGAGCCACCTGCTAACGTCTACTTGTTATCCGTCTACTGACCACCCATCCGCGGGGCTGGTAGAGCCTTAAGATAGAGTCACTTCAGACAGCATTGACCTTGAAAATAAAACAGACACTGTGCATTCGGCAGTCCGTCAATTCCTCCTGAAAATGGATTTTCGTACAAAGGAATGTCTCAAGGGAGGAAACCAACTTACTAAGGGGAAGAAGAGAATGAGCTGATGTAGCAAAGTGTTGACAAAGCAACGGAAGGAAGAAAGTTAGAAGAAGGCTGATAACCTGTAAGAAGTTTTGTTAGTTTCCTCACATGGGATTGGCCTGATGCAGTAGAGCCCCACCTACTGGTGGGAAATTGAACTGTGCCTATAACTTCATCAATTTGCAAAATTCTGTATTTAAACAAAACCCTATCAGCAATTTTCCCCTTAGTAAATTGACAGTTCCCATTAAATAGCTAAATCATTTTACACCCAAAGAAAAAATGATATTGTAGACAAGTCTTTGAAAAAGCAATTCCTGTCTTCTAGGTATAGCCACAAGTGAAACGAAAGAACTAATATTAAAATAACACAAACATCTAATAACTAATTCATTATGGTAGTTCAGGTTGATGGAATATTACGTGGCCACTAAAGTTATGATGATGGAAACTGTAGCAAAATGGGAACTAGTTATGAAGATGTTCAGTGAAAAAAAAGTAGAATACCTTTTGTTCTTTACAGTGATTCCAAATCTGTATCTGAACTTAAAGGGAACAAGGACAGTTATAACACTTGATAATAGAGTGGTGATATATGGCTGATTTTTTTTTCTGTAGTACCTTTACTATTATTTATTTTATGTGATAAATTAGAGATGTGTGAAGAGAAGAAAATAATTACTTCCCTAGTAATCACCAGAATTGCCTTTCACTAAACCAATTGAGTTTTAGTGAAAGTTGCATTGGTTAATGTTCTTTAAACCCAAAGTCCTTTGAGGAAAGTTCTGTTTTGAGCACTAGGTGATACTGACACACTCAAGTGTTTCCTCCATTCTCAGTGTTTAGACCCATTGAACTTGACCATAGTTTGGGAAGAGAAGTCATTATTAGTGTCACTTTCTCTTTTTGAAAATATGTGTCCCTTTTGTTTGATATGTATGAGACAAAGCAGCTATCCACAGCGTGGGAACAAAATACCCATGGCTTTTCTTAGAGCAAATTTCACTGAAAACTAATTTAACATCTCGTCGTGTCTTGTTTGATAGAAACAAGGACACAAAAGGAAAAGGAAGAGTGTTATGATTGATCAAGATATGAGGGCCAGCACCCATTTTATTTTACCCTTTCATTCCCAAGAACATGGTGGTGACTTGTATATTTGCAGTCTTTGCTGCCTGGGATTTTATGGGGCTGGGTTCCCACAGCTTCCGGAAGAGGGAGGATTGAGTTAAATTGTTCTTATCGTTTACGGTCATGACTCTGGTTTCAGCTCCATGTCAAAGCTGACAGCCTGACCTATTCTCTTGGCAACATTTCTCTGAAATATAAAAAACTGTAAGTCATCCTTAAGACAAAAAGTGCCCCAACCTGGCTTCCCAGGACTGTCAGTCTCCTGGCCTCACCGGCCACCTCCGTGTCCCAAACTGGGCTCCTGGCCTGTGGCTGAGTCCAAAGGCAAGTGTAGCCTCATACACTTTGTTGGTTTCAGCAAACAGTGTCCGCCGTGCCATCGGTGGAGGTAAGCCCTGCTATCTGGGGTCCACCTCGCAGAGCCCGCAGGCTTTCCCTCTGCTCTTGGAATGAGCGGGAAGGGGTCGGTGAGGGAGCCTGCCTGAGCTCTGGGTCACTAAGGAACACCCCGCTGTGCCCCGACACAATGCGTGCAAATTCTGTGCTTGGTCAACTTGCTTGGCCAAGGAAAGGAGCGCCTACTGTGGCTGGTTGGGACTCTAAAGGCTGCCTTTTCTTAGACGAGCGAGAAGCCTGGGGTGGGTCTGGAAACAGCAGAGAAGACAGCAGTTCCTTAGGGCTAGAAGCAGATTTCCATATGCAGAACAAGAGCAGGTCAAAATATGGGGCAGTTTTACCATGCGCTGTGCAGGGAAGGAGGGGGAAGGGGGCAAGCGACCCTGTACAGCTCAGTAACCACTGGGCGGGAGCCTTTTAGAACCAGGCACATCGCAGCTCTGCCCACCTGCAGGGCGAGCAGCCCTCTTGTTCCATCAGTGAGACACTCCTGAGCGACACTTAAAGGAAGGTCAACCGTGGTTCCTAGAGATTCCTAGTCGCCCAAGGACACGGACTGGAGAGTGAGGATTTCACTGTCAGCCCACCCTTACTCTCCTCCCATGTGATCTCACTGATTCACACGTGGGTGGGAATGTTTACCAGATTATCAAAAACTAATATGAAAGAGAGAACCCACCGTGTAAGCGCCATGGAGACCCCCAGTCTCCTTCTCCTCACGGTAGTGCTGGTATCCGCTGCAGCTTTGGTCTGGAATGCCTTTACAAACAAGTGATAGGGAGCTTGGGAGAAACTGCGGGATGCAGGGGCATCACCTTTCTAGAGCTGTATACTCTGCAGGTATCAGCCTTCCTTAAAGCACTAGAACCCAAGGAGGGCACTGCGCCTCCCTCCCACCCCAGTTGTGGTTTGTAAGCAATCTTCCCCCAAACCACAGAAGCCTCAGGTTCCGACGTTCCCTTCTAGGTCGTTTCAGTTAAACTCTCCGAAGGGGGTTCCAGGAATTTGCGTTTATGACAAGGTCTCCAATGATTTTTTTATGCACTTCAAAGTTTGAGAAACACCATAAAAATTAAACTAGTGGAATAAGTCCTACAACCGACAAGGGAGAAACAGCGGGCCATTATGCAAGAGGAGAAATGACAATGCCAGGATGGTGACAGGGACAGGGTAGCAGAAGCCATTCAGGAGGCCAGAACGTAAGAGAAGGCTGCTCCATCGCTAAGTCATCAACCAGCTGTGCAAAGAGCTGTCCATTACCCTGCCATGTAGCCAGGCAGGGCGGATGCTTTATGCCACATTGAAAGACTCCAGCAAAACACAGGTCAACATCAGGAACTTTTTACAAAAAAACCCAGTTGTGTGGCCAGTGCTAGGAAGATCTTAGCTTCTTCGTTTTCTCTTTAAGAAGAAACAAAGTTATATAATACAACAATAGACATAAGAAGTTTAAGAGGGAAAAGTTCCTCGTGGAAATCTGAGCTAATGACTAGGTGACTCATTCCCGAAGAGTTCCAGGTAACCAGCTCTGTTATACAACTACTCCCGGACGTGGCAGGGACCCAGGAACTGCCCAGAGCCTTTGAGAAAGTTTGTAGGGAGGGTGTCCATCCAGGCACAGCTGTTTCTCTCCCAGGCATCTGGGGCAGGGACAGTGACAAAATGTACTAGCACTAGGGGCGACTTTTGTAGTTAACATGTGTGTCTGATACTAACTTGGGTATTGTTCTTCACCCAAGCAAAAATGGTCTTGAAGCACACAGATAAAGCACATGAAAGGTCCACAATGAATTTTTATAAATAATTGGGTCAAGGGAACCTATGTACATTGCAGATCCCCTCTTGAGTTTCCCTGTTGTTTCATAAGATGAGAAGGATGCTTCATAATCACGTTAATTGTGATTCTGCTTACCGCCATGCTGACCAACTAAATGAATCTTTTCTAAATAGTTTTTTTAATTGATTTCAGAGAGGAAGGGAGAAGGAGAGAGAGATAGAAACATCAATGATGAGAAAGATTCATTGATCAGCTGCCTCCTACATGCCCCCTACTGGGGATGGAGCCCACAACCTGGGCATGTGCTCTTGACCGGAATCAACCCCAGGACCCTTCGGTCTGCAGGCCTATGTTCTATCCACTGAACTAAACTGGCTAGGGCATGAGTCTTTTCTTGAAGATCTCTCTGGCCACAAATGCCTTCAAGAGCTAAATGACCTTTTCCAGCTTAAATAACGGTGACTCCTAAATTTCTGTGGTTGGAAGATGCCAGAGAACTCGGGCCCTCTGAGGAGCACATAGAGGCCTGAGTTGCTGCCACACTGCCATGGGACCCTCTTGGTCCCTTCCCGACATCTAAGCACAGTGTCCAGGGTCAGCTCACCCGTGGACCAATGGGATTGCTTACTCACTGGCCCTGCCCTGGAGCCCTTCTATACAATGCTTCTTAGATTCTGCTGAAATATTTTTCTTATTGTCAAAAGCAATAGGGCTATAGGTAACCTGATCAGACTGTCTTAGCTGGAAATAATCACATTTCCAATTTTATCTCATTAAAGTATAAGAATTGACCTTATGGAGAACATGAGGTTAAATTTGTATTTCCTTTGACACACACATGCATAGATAGCATCATTAAACCGATCTGTCTTTTTTACGAGACAGTGTAATGCCTTAGGAAAGTCTCTGCATCGCATAATATATTTCCACTTCTGTCTCTGACCTACAGTAAGCCTATTGTTTTGTTCCGCAGGTATATTACAACACGGATGATGAACGAGAAGGGTAAGACACTCGGTTCTTTCACTTAAACACCCAAAGTCAGTTCATTTCAGTAGAAACGGCTCTTCAGGCAGTAACTGCGAGCATGGGTGGGACCGTCTTCTCACCTTCAGACTCAGAGCTGAGAAATGCTTGCTTCTGGGCACTGAGAGGAAGGCTGGGGGAATACCATTTTCCTTCTAAATCTCTCCCCTTTTCGCCTTCCTCTGATCTGCCTTTGAATAAGCAGCTATTTTTCTAAATGATTCCACCTTTCTACCGATAATCCAGTTACTGAGATAATTTTTGGTGGAAGAACAAGCTGAGTTGAGGCAAGGGCCAAGGAGCCAGCCTGCCTACTTTCAGTGTTACCTGGGCCGCCTGCACGTACTTCCTGCACATACTCACTCTGGGGAGGCTAGGCTGAGGCTGGTGGGAGTGGGAGCTGGGAAAGCTGAGAGCCTTTACACGGTCCTTAGGATTATAGGGTCACCCAAGGCTCCCAGTGTGTTTGTTGCACGACAAGACTGCCTACTGCTTGCTATCCACAACTCACTGTATGGACTCCTAGGGTTTTAGAGCTAAAAAGGATCCTTCAAGGTCATTCAGCTGACCCTCCCTCCTAGGCAATGTGATATCTTATACCACATCCTTGAGAAATGATGGAAATATTCTGAATGTTCTCACTGTGTGTGAGGTAGACCATTACTGTTGGGTGACTCCAACCCTCCGGAAGGTAGTTTGTGGAACTGATGTCTACCTTCTTTTGACTTCTGCTCATTGGCTGTAGTTCTTCATATGATCTGGATGCTATTTTTCTCTTAAAAACATCTACAACTACATTCATTTTTCAGTATCCACGTTACACTACATATGTGTACCCAAGATCTTGGTTTGCACTACACGGATATAACTAAAAATCTCTAGATCACTTATTTTCAAATTGTAGTCAAACCAGGGCTTCTGTATTCTTATATCATTAACATATATACTTCTGAAACATTTCAAGGTGAAGTAACTATAGCAGATACTGCTGAACTCACTTCCCAGAGCAGAGCTGGGCAAGCTACAGTCCGAGGACCCACCACTTGCTTTCGTATTGTTCACAAACATTTTTAAGTGGTTGAAAGCATCCAGAAGAATACTGCCTAACTCTTGAAAATTCTATGAAATTCAGGTCCATACATAAAATTTCACTAGAACACAGCCATGTTAATTCCTTTATGTCTTATCTGTGGCTACATTGGTGGGACCACAGCTCAATTCAGTGGTTGCAGCGAAGTCCAGAGAGCCTGGAAAGCCCAAGTGCTGACTAGTCTGCCCTTCACAGAAAAAGGGTGCCACCTTCTGTCCTGAAGGATAGAGACTCTCAAAGGAGTCAAACATTCCCCAGCTGGTTAGAAGCAGAACCTTGTCCAGAATTTGACCTCTAAACTCTGAGTTCTAAATTTTCTAAATGCTTAATTAATTGTTCTTTTTATCTTGGCACATGGATAACATATTTCCAGAGGCTGGAATGAACAGAAGTGATTAGCGCTATCAATTCTAATCTGTTATTCACATATTTTACAAGGGACAGTGTGGCGTCATGGAAAGAACGTTGACTCTGCGCTTAGGAAGTCCATGTTCTGCTCCCAGACTGTAGCTCACTAATGGGAAGCCTGGGGCCGGCTCCTTGACCTCTGAGCTTTGGGCCCCTCAATTGTAAAATGAGGATTTTGTAGAGGACGATGATCTCTAAGATCCCGTCTAGCACTAACATTCTATTATTCTCCCAGGAAGCCTTAGCATTGGAGTGAGAAGTGCCTGAGACCTGAATGCTGCTCCATGTGCAGACCTCACTTAACCTACCTCAGCCTAAATTGTCCTTCCTTGCAAGTTGGCAACATTTAGGTGGCCAGGGGACCTAACTCTTTTGGCTTAGCCTCTGTAAGAACTACCCTCTGTTATAATCTTAATGCCCTAGGCTCAAGTCTCTTTTACACACCTAATTAGAGGTCATCTGAGCAATATGGGCAGCCTCAGTGATAATCTATCGTAGGCTCTTGGCTCTTGTTATATGCAAAAGGAATAGCATTCATTAGGTACCTTGGCTAGACACTGTACCAAGTGCTTTATATACATTATTTCATTAACTTCTCCCAAAATTTTCATGTGTTTTACTATATATACATAAGGTGATTTCAAATAAGGCAGTTTTCCAAGGAGAAGATGAAAACAAAAATTAAAGCTTTTGGGCCAACTTAAATAGGTAAATCTTTGTGAGTATAGCCCAAAATGTCAATGACCTACTGAGACTTGTTTTGTTAATTTAATCACACATACATTTAAAGAATAACATTATATGATTTAGAAATCCCATCATTTTTCAAAACACTTCTATTTAGATTATTCACAATTCATTTTTGACACCAGTGTCTTTCTTATCATTAGAGTTACTTTTGGTCATCTCTGTTTATTAGGACAATTCTTCATTACCATCAAAGTTGAGATATAGCACTTTTTAAATCCACATGCATAAGATTATCATCAGAAATTTTATTTCAAGCCACAAATATTGATTCTCATAACATTAGAATAATTATGTAAGTGACAGCCACAATGTTGCCTCCATTAAAAAAATTGTGGGTTCTTTTTTAATATGTATATTTTTATTTTAGAGAGCAAGGGAGAGGGAGAGAGATAGAAACATCAAAGTTGAGAGAGAATCATTGATCAGTTGCCGCCTGCACACCCCACACTGGGGATCGAGCCCACAACCTGAGCATGTGCCCTGACCGGGAATTGAAATGGGACCTCCTAATTCATAGCTGAATGCTCAACCACTGAGCCATGCCAGCTGGACTTAAAATTGTGTTTTTCATTAAACTTTATTTCCAGAGCTACACAACCCAGTCTGTCTTCACACGACTCCAGTCTGTCCCACCTGCCCTCTCTCTGCCAGAGTGGCCCTGAATAAGATTTTGTGTACTGGCCCCTTTTAGAGGGCACTTGGGTTTCTAGCAGACTCCTGCCTCTCCCTGGGAAACAGAATTTCCACTGGTTTTTATAGCCATATGTTACGTGGGTTCCTCTTCCCTGCTCTGGTGCTCTAAGCTGGGGAGCTCAGTGTGGGGTTCAGACCTCAGTCTCCTCAGGCTGAGATATCCCTCCTGATTCTCAGCCACAGCCCATGGGTGTGGGGTCAGCCCTTTTCCCATCCCCTTACTTCCTACCAGTCTCGATGTGGCTTCTTCTGTGAATCCTTGGTTATAAGACTCTGTTCAGCTAGTCTAGAGTTGGTTATCCAGGTTGATTGCTCTATAATTTAGTTGTAATTTTAGTTTGGACCTGGGAAGAGGTGAATGTAACTTCTACCTATCTGCCACCATCTTGAATCCTCCATTGATAAAAGTCATGGGATGATGGGTTCTTCCCCAAAGAGTAATTTTTGTTGGAAATAAATTAATCGAGATCAATTTATTTAGGGCATACATGCTAATTAGCCTACACAGGCCACAAGCCGAGTTGTGAGAGGCGTGGTGCCTGCAGCTTCTTTCCTCACTGAACTGGGCATCTCCTCACTATGCAGCAATGCCCTTCAGTCCACAGGCCAACACTCTATCCACTGAGCCAAACCGCGTATGGCTATACTTCAAGCATTCGCGTCCCCTGAGGTTGATCCCTCAAGATAATGGCTTCATGTGCCACGTGACCTGAACTCACTCACATCTCACACATGTGCCAGTGGGATGGAGACTGCTGTTCTCCAGTCCTTTTGGGGTACAATCCAGTATAATAGGACAGGCATCATGCTCTTTCCATCTGTCAAATGGGGCAGTCATATCTGCCCCTCCTTTCTTGCCTTGTTTTGAAAATAGAGTAACAGTTGAATTCCGACCACACAAACATATTGACTCCACACTGGGTTTGCGGATTTGAATGTGTGAAAAAGCATTTTTTAACTCCCAGGGGAAAGGTGATTGATCCAAGATGTTATTTTAATGGCAGTTTGTCACGCACAGCTCAGATCGGAGCATTACCAAAAGTCAGCAGAACTGGAAAAATACAAATAAATCTCGCTTGGCGAGAAAAAGAAAATCACTGGCTTAGGAACCTTCGCACAGCAGGACAGAGTGATATTTCACAGTCTGGTGACATTTCAGGCTATTTACCCATTTTTACCCTCCTGGTCACCGACAGCTGTGCGAACAGATTTCTAACCTTCAGCTCCTGGGGTCATGGCCATCCAGTTCCAAGACATGACAGAATGACATGATCTACTTTTATGAAAAGGTAGTGAGGGGAAGACAGAGGGAACAGGGCTCTAAAAACTCATTACCACCTTTACCTGGGACTTGGGTTTGAGATTTCCTTCTGGCTATTTCCATAGTTTGACTTAGTGGGGAATACAATAAGAGAATGCTGACTCTCAATATCATTTCTTACACCCTCACTCATCATCTCAGGTTTCTTGAGTACCTTTAGCATGAGGTTGTCCCTCAAAGCTGGGTTCTCTGAACAGCCCTTTTCACTTATCAGCTACGTCACCCTGCGTAAGACACGTAACGCGCTAAGCATTAGTTTGATAGTCACCGACATAGGGATGAGCTTGGTGCTTGCCCTGGCCGGCTCACAGGGACCATAGCATCAATGCCTTCCCTTCAGACAGCCTATTTTTCCAATTTTCATTCCTCCTGGACCGTCCTCCCCTTCCTTAGAGTGCCCAGAAAGAGCAGAAACTTCGGCAGGCAATGCAGGGCTATCAGACCTGGCCCAGTTGGGGACACGCAGGGCCACCACACCACGAGCTCTCAGGAAGGGGGGCTGAAACCCTCTCCCAAGGGGGAGGAAGAGCTGGGCAGCCAAGGTCTGGGTCTCTAGGGAACTTCCATCACTGCAGGCTCATCGGCTCCAACCAGATGGAGGCATAGAACAGCAGGAAGTGAGGGCAACCTTATAACTGAGAACCAGTGAGGTAGGCCTGCACCATTTCCACAGGTCCCCCTGTGCCCGCTGGGGGCTGGCAGGACAGTGCAGGACCCCCAGGCCTACCTAGTTCAGAGGGGGCGGGTGTAAGTTGGAGGCCACAAGAGTAAGTGTTCACCAGGACTCACTCCTACTACTCCCCAGCCCTGATCTGAGCAGGGGTTCAGTGCAGGACAGAGTGAGTGAAACCCAGAGGTCTCACCTTTGTAGATCCATATTCAATAATGAGAAGTATGTCTTTGATCCATGTCCTAAAGATAGTGGGGGTGAGGGGATTCTGCCTCGAACAGGGATGACTTGGGACCTGCAGGGGGACGAAGGAGGTTGTGCCGAACCAGGGGTGGTATAAACAAAGGGAAAAGATAGGGACTGCCACACATGAGCCTTTGTGCTAGTACCCTGTCTGCTTTACTGAATACTTTCTGCTCATCTTTCCTAGCAGCAGTGTCCTTGTTAAACGGATGTTCAGGCCCATGGAAGAGGACTTTGGCCCAACACCTTCCAAGCAGATAAAAGAAGAAGGGATGAAGCGAGGTATCTCTCCCCTTGGGGCCCTCCACTGGCATTGCTGAAAGACCGAACCTCCCATGATGAGTGGGAGCGGGTGGTTGACCAAGAAGAACACACAGCCCCGTCCACACCCCTGTGGTTCAGTGCGGGCCTGTGGATTGTAATGATTGTTACTGACACAGGAAGTTCACAGTCTTCTTTGCTCTAAAGCCTGTCTTTTGAAGCACTGTAAGCACATGCGATTCTTTCTGGGCACTGGTTCTTGCCTTTGCTTCGGGAGGAATGTAATGAACATACTGACTCATCATGCAGTGAGATGTAAGGTTAAAAAGAAATGCTTGCTGTGTGTGACAACAGCAGAAGCACCAGCCATGAGAATTGTTCAATAGATGCACGATTAATCTCACCCAAGCAAATGAACCTGTTTTCTGTGACATCACCATTTACTCATTTTCTCTCAGTCAAGGGTCTTATTCTACTTCACCAGGGAAGTAAGAAATGAAGCCCAGGCTTCTCAATGTCTTGCACGGCATTTGATGCTGTTCACGACTCACTGTCCTTCCTCAGAATAAGAGGAAAGTGTGTGTGGGTGGGGATGGGGGGCCCAGTCACCCTATATCTTGCTGTAGCTAATTCCGTTAGCTTCCAAAGGCCTTCAACTTCTAATGTGTCAGATTACCATGTTAACTATACCCACACGTCACCATCCACACAGGCTTGAGTTTTTTGTTGAGAAATGTTATCCCCCTCCCCCCATTTGTTGAAATGGAACCTATACAGTGATAGGCAGACCTGTAGCCTCCCCCAGCCCGTAGAGTTGTATGACCTTGGAAAGGTCTGCTCCTTCAGAGTCCTCATCTGTAAGATGGGCATGACAAGAGCACCTACTTCATAGAGTTGCTGTGAGGACCGATGCGTGAATGAATGTACATGAAACACTTAAGTGCCTGATCCACTTGTGTTTTATGATTAGGCCTGGATCTACTTAAGCTATATTATCATCATTGTGAATAAGTAATTAGCATTTCAAGTGAAAGATCATACATGTCTGGATGGTGTTAGTTACATTAGCAACATTATTTTTTTAAAAAATATATATTTTATTGATTTTTTACAGAGAGGAAGGGAGAGAGAAACATCGATCAGCTGCCTCCTGCATACTCCCCACTGGGGATATGCCTGCAACCAAGGTACATGCCCTTGACCGGAATCAAACCCAAGACCCTTCAGTCCGCAGGCCGACACTCTATCCACTGAGCCAAACCAGTCAGGGCACATTAGCAACATTTAAACCTGTAAAAGATGTTCTGACATCACAGGCTCACCCTCAAATGTCTGAGTGCATGTTGAGCTCCATTCTGCCTGCCTTTTCTATCTCATCCTTTAGAATGAGGGCAGAGCTGTATGGAAATCAAAGAACCACACAGGCACAATTAATCTGGCTTGCATCCATATGTAGTATCTGCTGGCTAGTCCAAAGAAGTGCTTCCCATATTATTTTGAGATTTTGAAGTCAGGACAAAAATGTGCTGCTAGGAATTGAATTGTATTGGGCTGCTAGTATGATGAAAAGCAAGTATCTGGCCTTTGAAACATCATCATAGAGACACATGGGGGCGCTGCAACCTGCCAGCCATGGAGAAAGTGTTCTCCAGGAGCAGGTATCCTTTGGAGAAGGATGCTGGTGCTACTGAGCCCTCGCCGGGAGCTCCTAGTCTGAGCCTCTCTGACCAGCACAGGGAATCAGTGTCAGTGCCACTTCCTTAGTTGATTCGTTAGAAGTTCTCCGGGAGAGAAAAGGAGCATAAATGTCATTTTTTGATGTTCTGCCTTTCTGGCCACTCCTCAGGGTGGCTGTGTCTGGAGCCCCTAGGGGCTGCCCCTGTGGCCGCTGCCTTTGCCAGGGTCTAGGATGGGCGATGGTCGCAATTGCGTAGGCAGCAGGGGTTCTTAGAGAGTTTTGCCGGGCACACACAGTTCAGGAGAGCCAGCTCCTGGGCACCCTGGGACACTGCCCTTGGAGGGGGTCCTGCAGCCGTCAACATGCCCCCATGCCACCTTTCACCCTCCCCCAAGCCATCTGGGTTTCAAGGACAATAATTGTGAAGGAAGATTTATAAAGCCATTTGAATAGAACATGGTTTGGGGTTTCCTGAGGCTCAGGCTGGAGATTACATTTCTCTGCTGGAGGCTGTGGGAAGAAGCTATAGAAGGCTCATCTGGAACGGCCACTAGTGAGAGCTGTTATTGTTTCTGTTTTGTTTTATTTCATTAGTTATTTTATTTTTCCTTTAATTTTTCTCATCTAGGGGTAGTTGAGGTCCCGTGGTCTAATTGTTCCTTGTTGTGCTGCTAACTCTGGGTCCTCTTATGATGCCACTAGATCATTTTATTTTTTATTTATTTTTAATTATTTTGTTTTCTTTATTGATCAAGCCCACCCTCCCGTGCCTTCCCTCTGAGGTTTGACGGTCCGCCACTAGGTCATTTGAGCTGGAACGGAGGCTATAAAACCTTCCTTCCAAAGGATGGAATTGGGAGATCTCTGGAGGCACATCCACTCTGTCTGTTTATGTGGCGTTTGGCTTTTATCCGGGGCAAACACAAGAAGCTGCAGTGCTTCAGGTGGTCTGTTTGTTTTGTTTTCTTCATACACAACTGACCGTCTGCCGGCTGCAGAACGTCCCGGCAGAACCCGTGTGCACATGTAGACTCTGCCTGTAGAAGCAGCTTCTGCAATGAAGTCCTCGGGGATGGGGAGGGGAGAGGCGCGGGAGTCTGGGTTCGAGCTGATTTCATCTCCAGGCCAACTTCATGCCTTCGGGTTGGCGGTGAGCGTAGCTCAATGGGTATCTGACTGTAGTCGGGACCCAGGCTCAGCAGGGCTGTTTTCCTGTGCGTGCTGCTCAGTGGCCGGTGCACTGGGCTTCAGCCTCGGTCTCGCCCTTCTCTCTGAAGCAGGAGCCAGAAGCCCTGTCTCTGGGGCTGAGGAAGGGCAGTCAGCTTGCGGGGCTGCCGGGCCGCATCTGAATGGCAGGTGCAGTTGCGGTAGGAAAGGGATGCAGTGGTGGAGGGTCTCGGCCTCTCTGATGACACCTGGGTCCCTGTCATCTCTCATGGCCTGTGCATTGTCAATTCAGAAGGTTTTGCGACAGAGAAACGAACAGAAGGCTGCCCTCACGCTCACTGAGCGCAGGGAGCCGCGGCGATTGCTCCATAAGAGCATTCACTGAAGGATGGGCGCTTGCTGTGCGCCCAGCGTCCCACGTGGAGGTCATTTCACTAACCCCCAAGGCACGCTTATGAGGCAGATATTATCATCATCCCTGTTTTACAGGAAAACAAAACAAAACACAAAGCTTGGAGAGGTTACATGACCAGGCCCCACCGCAGACTGAACTGGGGTCAAAGCCAGGCCTGTCGGACTCTTACCCACTTGCTTCTGAAATGCACGCCTCCCTCCCGGGCCATGGCACATGTCACTGTGTCTGCTGGAGTTTGTGCTCATGTTTGCTCTCATGTCCTCTTTCTCTCCCTGCCCCCCCCACACACCCCTCCCCCGCCACCTCTCACCTGTGTTGATGCCTATACACCCTTCGTAACTCAGAACTCCTACAAGGTAACTTTCTGGAAAGCTCAGGCCCCAGTAAGCACTTTCTCCTGTCTTTTTCCTTCATGGCTCCTAGGACTCTGTCTAGTTGTCTGCTTCTGAGGAATGCCCGCCTTTCCGGGTGGACCCAGAGCTTACGGACAGGCTGCGTCTCCACTCATGGCTGCGACCTCAGCTCCTCGCACACAATCTGGGACCCAGGGGCCCTGGTGGGACTTCAGCAATAGTTGTTGAGCGATCAAACAAATAGAAGACAGAGGTCTCAGAAAGAGATCTCCCAAAGAGATCACGTATGCACCCGTGAGAAATTCGCAGCATGTGAACAATGTGTGAAACAGCCTGCTGAGTGTTGGTACCCAATTGCCAGTTGGTACCCAAATGTCATCGCCTTGCTCCCTAACAGTCCCTGCCGCAGGTTGTCCAGGGAACTGCCTCCTCACCCGTGTGTGGCTCAGGGGCCTGAGGGTAGATAGCATCCGTGTCCCAGGCCTGAGTGACAGGAAGCAGTCTCCTGTGGTGGCTGCGGGGTTGTGTGGGCTCCTCATTAACCCTTTCCTCCCTTGCTCTTCCAGTGCTTTTGTACGTGAGGAAGGAGACTGATGATGTGTTCGATGCCTTGATGTTGAAATCTCCCACCGTGAAGGGCCTGATGGAAGCGGTAAGCCATGAACATCCCCCCACCCCCCTTGGAAATCTGCTTGTGTTCTCCTGAGCTGGAATCCCTTCATTAAAATGCAGCCTTGAGATGGCTCTGGAGTGAGCTTTACAAAGAAGAAGAAAAAGCGGAGATTTATGGAGACACTGGTTTCCATACTGTCAGGGCTTCTTAGCAATTTAAGAGAAGGAAACGTTGAAAAACTGCCAATTCCCTGTCGGTTTAAGGCTGATCAGAGTAAGAGGCCATGGAGAAAGGTTAGACTGTGAGCGCCTCTCTCGTTTTTTTTTTTAAACTGTGAGTTTCCATTTGTCTCTGTGCATTACACCGAATTAGATATGTTTAACTTCCAAATATGTACAGAACAGGAACAATTAGGAAGTGTCGAGAAAGGTATGTTGAGATGGTTTGGACGTATAGAGAGGATGAACGAAAGGAGATAGACGAAACAAGTATATAAGACGAGTGTGGATGGGAGAGTTGGATGGGGTCGACCTCAGCGAACGTACCTCCATCAGATTGAGGATGTTTTTAGCAAAGGCCAGATTAGGAGGACCCTAATTAAGTTCATAACAATGTACCTACCTATATAGTTTAAGTTTAAAAAATTTGGCCCTCAAAAGAAATTTCAATCATTGTACTATTGATATTTGGCTCTGTTGACTAATGAGTTTGCCGACCACTGGGTTAGGGCAATTAGGAAGTGTCTTGCTAGCTGTGGTAGTGTAATCCAAAATGCAAATATGACCTCTTTTGGTTAAGACTTAGTATGTTAGTACTATGTTAGTATATGCTTCTCAATTTTTTAACAACTTAATGAATGCCTGGTTTTCAACTGTGAAAATATCAAAATGTGCTTAATGGATGTTTGTGATCCACAGTGTCTGTATTATGAACAGTGATTCTTTGAAGAGCTTTGCATACATCTGAGTGTATTTCTGTAGACCAGACGACTAGATGTGAAATATGTGGGTCAAAGGAGATATGGATTTTTAATTTCAACAACATGTGCCAAATCTCCCTCCAAAACGGTTTAGCTTGTCGATCTCCCATCTATGGAACATAAGAGTTGCTGTCTTTCATATTCTGACACTGTATTCTAAGTTTTTTTTTGTTTGTTTTGTTTTTTTTAGCTTTTGTTAGTCTGGTCGATTAAAAGTAGTATCTTTTGCTTTAATCTGAACTTTTAAATTATGTATGAGATGGTTCGTTTTAATATATGCCTATTGTCCTATTGTCTTTTTTCTGTGAATTACTGCTTCATGATGTTTTTTTCCTTTTCCCTTGAATTGTCAGACGTTTTTTTTATTTGTTTTGATTTGCAGGGATTCTTTCTAACTTAAGGAAATTAGTTCCATGTCTGTCATTCGTGCTGCCAAAATGTTTCCCAGTGTATTATTTGGCCTCAGCTTTTTATGGTGGCTTTTGCTATATCAGTACTTTTAATTCTGTGTTGTTTTTATCAACCTTGGATCTTTTTTTCTTCAGGTTTCATATCTTGCTTGGAAAGATCTTCCTTACTTGAAGATGATATCCATACAAAGAATTGACCCCATTGGTTTCTTCTTGTATGTTTTCATCTTCTTGTGTGATTTCTTGTATGGAAACCTTGGATCGGATTATTTTGATGTAGGACTGGAGAAGGGATCCAGTTTAACTTGTTAAGTTTCTCCTATATGGCCACCTACTTCATTCACATCATGATAAGGGTCCACCTTTCCTGACTGATCTGGAAGGACACCTTTATCATAGATTACGTTCCCATGAGGCTGGAAATGTTGGTGGATGAGGGAAGGTTTGTCCAAAGGGAGAAGTAAGCCTTGCAAAGGAGGCGTTTTGAGAGTTTGACTCGTGAGTGAAGGACACCGGCTCCCAGAAAACCTCCAGGAGAATTAAGTCGGAACTCCTCTCGTGGTTCTGCTTGGACTCCCCTCTGCTCACCTGCCTTTTTGTTGTTGGTGTTACAGATATCCGAGAAATACGGGCTGCCCGTAGAGAAGATAACAAAGCTTTACAAGAAAAGCAAAAAAGGGTAAGAAAAAAATTGAACTTAAATTAACTTTCAAATCAGATAAGTCAACATAGTGCCTTAAAAAAAAAAAAAAGACGGTGCCTCTCTTTTGCTAGGTTCCGTTGTCCACCTTTTATAAAATTGTGTGTCATTTTTCCAAGTGCAGTGCATTTCAAGGCCCTCTAATGGGGGCGGGGGGCGGGGGGGTATTGTTCATTGTCATCCTGGTGACAGGATTAGTGGGTGCAATAGAGGGGTCTAGAAGTGGGGAGAGTGGCCATGTCACCCTTCCGTAGAGAGGAGTGTTTAGTGAATCCCATGCTGCTCTTGGAGTTGGCTTCCAGGCTACACAGTGGGAACAGAAAGAATTATTTCTTCCTGAGTAACTATTAGCAAAATGCTCTAAATAATCACTAGACCTGCTTGTTCTCAGTGTTAAGGACAGCAGCTCTCATTAGTGGGTGTTTGGTGGGTTCTGGGTCCCCTGTTTGCTATGCACTGCTCTGTTCCTCCCCACTCTGTCAGATAGACTCTTACCCCTCCTTTACTGATGAGGAAAGTGAGCCGCATGGAGATTCAGCATCTTGCCTGAGGGCTCATGTTCAGAAGGTGGGACACAGATTTGAACCCAGGCCTGTGGCCCCAGAGCTCAACTGCTTAGCTCCTCATTCTTCTTTCTGCCACCTCCAGGCCCCTGGGGCTTCCTCTGAGGCTCTAAGAGTAGAGGCTGCAGGAGCTGAGTCTAGAGCCAGAGGGTCTTTATGAAGGCAGCTTCTGGGGCCATTTTCCTACAAAAAGCAGAAGATGGGTCTTGAAACTTTTCTCCGGGCCTGTCATAAAGGAAACTGATCATCTGGGTCGCTCAGCCTTTCTCAGTCATGGGGTCTCTTGGTTGATGGGGAGTCAAGCAAGAAACGCTTTCCACTTGAGCCTTTGCTGGAAAGCTCACTAAAAGGCATTTTGCAATTCTTCCCAAGGTCAACGCCATAGTCTGGGTTTACCCCTGATCGTGAGATGAGTGGTGTCTCAAGATCTCACTGCTGAGCACAAACCCTCAGCGCGAAGTCCCTGCCGATGATGATAACATTTCACTTTCATTGAGCACTGCACCAGGCCCTGGGCTAAATACTTTAATCCTAACAACAAGCCTTTAAAGCAGGGTTGTTATTCTTATTCTTGCAGAAGAATAAACTGAAGCTCTGAAAATCTAAACAACTTGCCTGATGACACATGGCTGTAAAACGATAGTCAGTTTTTCATTCTCAGAGTAAGATCTGTTTGACTTTGATGGAGGGGATTGACTCCAGAACTTCGAAGTCATGGACAGACCCGGAAAGTCATTGACTTTCTTACGACTAAATCCACTGGGGATCGTTAACCAAGGAGTAGGTCACATGGAGTAAAGGATGAGCTTCAGAGGGAGGCAAAGCTAGTTTCAAAACCCCGCTCAGCCACGAACTTGGGGAGTGATTTAACCTCACTGAGCTCAGTTTTCTCTTTTGCAAAACGGCACCAATCACACCTACCGGCAAGATCGCTGTGAGGATGAAGTGCAAGGTCCCTGTCACCCTGGAACACAGGGCATGCTCAGGAGGCTGGCTGCAGTTCTGGTTTATTTTCCTCTTCCTCCTAGTGCAGGATACTCTTTACAATACATCTTCAAGGGGCCACGAAAATGGGGCACCTAACTCTTCAGGTCCTGGCTCTGTCCGTATGTCAATAGCCAAGCCTGTGAGTTTAGCCTCTGTTAACTCCTCTGGGCCTCAGTTTACCCATCTATATAAAAAGGGCTGAGTTGAATGATCTCTGAAGTCCTGTTTAATAAGGAATCAGGAGGTTAGTTCTGAGAAATTGAGGCTTTGCTTTCCTGCAACTGGTTTCTGTAGAAAGATAGTTGAGTGCACGTCTTCTTCCCTTGCCTTGTCGCCTCTCTCCTCCACACCTCCTGGCCTCCCTTGCAAAAGAATGGCAAAGGGAACCCCCAGCCTGTGGTCCATCCTTGCCCGAGCACATTGTTCATGGCACCTTTGTCTCTCCCCCACCCCCTCCCCAGCATCTTGGTGAACATGGACGACAACATCATTGAGCACTACTCCAATGAGGACACCTTCATCCTCAACATGGAGAGCATGGTGGAAGGTTTCAAGATCACACTCATGGAGATCTGAGCCTGGCCGGCTTGCCCTCGCAGGACCCCTCCGTGCACTCCTCCCTGGGAAAGGAGGAGCCCAGCCCCAGAACCCGCAGACCCACCTCACCCATCTCACAACTGCTGTTACACGACCGTGCTGGGGGCGGGGCCAGGCGTACAGCCCCACTCCTTGTCAGTGCGTCTGGCCCGTCCACCAGCTCCTGCTCTGGAGCTGAGGCCGGAGCCCCTCGGGAAGGGACCTTGCGTCTGTCAGACCCTTATTTATTGCCCACCGTTTTCTGGAGCCCAGGACCCGGCCTGCCCGGACTCTGCAGGTCACCACTGGCTCCAGATGACGCCATCAAGAGCCTTCAAGGGCAGCCCCGCTAACCTATTCATCTCGAAGAGCCTGAGAAGGTCTGGTCTCACCTGTCTCGCCTCTCCACTTCTCCCGCGTGGCTGGACAAAATGAGCTGCTCCTGGGTGCCGTGGTCAGAGGTGGGGTAAGAGGTGGGGGTCCCCGTGCTGGTCAACCCTTCAGGTTGACCGGGGAAGGTCATCTTGCTAGATACCTCCCGGGTCCCCAGCAAGTGGCCATCGGGCCTTGTGCAGGAAGACATTCAGCTGCCATGTACTTAGTGGGTGACACAGAAGGCATGCTGGCTATCATGTACATAGTGTTTATAATATTGCAATAATATATTTTGCCTGTGGTATGTGGGCATGTTTACTGCCACTGCCCTTGGGGAGGCACTGCTTTCTACAAGAGGTTTCTGCCTCTGTGCTGTGTGGGAGACACACTGGGCTAGAGAGGTGGCCTCCAGGGTGTAGGTGACTATGGTGGGTGCCAAGACAAGCTCCAGGGGGCACGGCCAGGACTCAGTCCTGTCCACAGAGGGAGCCCCGTCCTCTCCCGTGGGCACGCCTACTCTGGAGCCGCCTCTGTCTCCCGGTGATGTGCTTTGCTTGGGTCTCCTCTGAGCTGCCTTGTGGGAAGGGTCAGAGAGCCTGAGGCCCCAGCTCCTCCAGCTTTGGTGCTGGCACTGCCTGAGCTTGTCATGAGGAGCCTGGCCACCGTGCAGTGCCGCGCAGTTTACCAGCATGTCCTTCATCTCAAGTGGCCCCCTTAACGCCCGACTGCAGTGCTGAGAGCGGTGCCAGCAGCTCATGTCTGAACAGACAGGCCAGGGCGGCCTCCTGGGCCTCAGTGCTGGAGTGGGAGGGACCAGTTGCCTCTGCTCCTGGCTGCTGGATTGGGAAGGAGGGACAGTGCCCGAAGAGCTCTGGCTCTTCTGAAACCAGCCTGCAGAGGAGAACTCCACCTCCTGCTGCAGGTCCTGAGAGATGACGAGAAAACACACTTCCCTAGACAATTGCAAAAGCTTGAACCCTCCTAGGCCACTTCTCTCTTTGAGGGAACAGGTAGGTGGTCCAGGGGTTTGCATTCACCTGCGTGGGTGAAGAACCAACTTTTTGGTAGCCAGACACATCCCCCACCCAAGATCCGAGATCCAGGACAGGTTTTATGTAAGGGCCCAGATTTGTTTGTAAAGCACTTTGATGTCTTATCTTTCTCTCCGGGGGCTCCCTGCCCTCCCAGCCACCTGCCCGTGGGGCCCCTAGCAGGATGGACAGGCTGCCTACAGCCCAGCTGTTTCTCGTTGATGCTACAGAGGATTTGGATGGAATGGAGGGCAGGTGCCATGCTTAGGAAGAGCTCTGGGTGGCGGATAGGGGGCACCTTCCTGTGTGTCTTCTGGACAACTCATCCCCCACCCTTCCCATGGTGCCAAAGGTTTGCATCCTGGGCTCAGCTCTGCTCCTGTCTGTCCCCTCCTTCTCCAGTCTGTGACTGTCGGACTAGCAGCTGCAGGACCCTCCTGGGTCCTGATGGGGCTCTGTTCTAAGATGGACACACTCAGTGTTGGAAATACCTGATATACTATGCACTTCCCATGCTCCTTGCCTTAGGGGTGGTTTCAAACATGATTGGTGGACACAATGGCAAATACTATTGGACTAGGGCATAGGACTCCAGGTGAGGGAAGAGATGTTAAAATATTGGCAATTTGACACAGGCTACCTACCCTTCTCTCTGGACTCTGTGGAGAAAATGTTTGCTGGTCCTGCCCTAGGCAGAGAATAAATCAGAAATGCTTTTGCCTTTGTCCCCGGTCACTGAGCAATCATTGCGGTGGCCACTGCCAGAACAAAGAATATGCGGTCAGTGCCACCAAAGAGTGGTGCCGAGTGCCACCTCCCATCCGATCTGTCCCTCATGTTTACCAGGGTCCCTCTGCGTTCTCAGCGTGCCCATGGCTTAGCTATGATTTGTTCTTCACTATGGAAGGTAGCAGAGTTCTGACAAGGAAAATTTCCTGAGCAAAAACACTCCAGAAAAATAGGAAATGTTGCCTCCTCTTCTTTTGTTGTCCCCTAAGTTAATCACAGTCAAATAAATAAGCTTTTTTTAAAAAAAATCCATGTACAACGAGGGACATGTGAAACAAGTGTTTTAAGTACAGACCCAAATTGCTTAAACTGGACAGGTGTTTGGAAATTGGGACCCACAGAAAAATGCAGTCAGATGTCATCTTGGAATTGGACCCTGAAAGACCGAGGCCCGTCCCATGCCACAAGCACAGGAAGCATGGAACGAAGCGAACATTCATTTTCCTTCTTATTTAAAATCATGAAATGCAACGAAAACAGAGGGTTTGTGCCAAATTCTATGAACAGCCCTTTCTTAAGGACAAGCAAGGGAGATTGATAGATGGACAATTTGCTCTTGTGTTTAAAAAAAAAAAAGGCAAATGTAACTTAATAGTTTTGTAAATGGGAGAGGGGGAATCTATAAACTATAAATACCGTTATTTTATTTTTTGTACATTTTTAAGAAGAAAAAATAAATATTCATAAAGTAAGAGTAAATCACGGTGTCTGGCACTTCTCGTGAGGTTGGTGGTGGGGTTCTTGGATTGGAAAGAAACCTCTGTGTGAGCTGGGGAGATGCTAGGTTCCCCTTGGCACCTTCCAGTCCCGGCCTTCACCGCTGTGGGCATTTCCTCTGGTCGCCTTCTTATGTCCCACCCCAAGGTCAAGTGGGAAGAGGGCTGAAGGAAGCCAGAGGCCTTCAGTGTGGCCGAGACAGGCCACCAGGGCAGTTATTATTGACCAGCTCCTCAGGGCAGAGCCGGTTCTGCCCATTCGCTCTGACCTTCCTCTCTCCCAACTTGAATGAGCACAGAGCTTTCTGGTTCCTTCGTTCATCTGCACCAACCTCCTCAGAGAAGCCAAAACCACGTGCTGAAACATCAAATTCATCACGACAACCTCTTGTCCTGGAACCCGCAGGCTTGTAGTATCTGTCAGCTCAAATGTAAAGCCCTCTCTCCACTATGCCGGTATTTGTTGGTGTTTTCTCAATGAACACCCACCCGCTGAGCCACCCACACTCCTTCCGCTGTCGTTCCTGATTCTCCCCCGAGAGCCTCTCTGTGCCGAACAAATGGCACTTCTGTGTTCTTCCGTATCCCACCTTCTCTCTCTATCCGTGTCCACAGCTTTCAAATCTTTGCCAACAGCTTGCCTTCAGAAAGCCTCCTCTGATTTACTCCCAGTGGCATCCCCAGCAGCCTCTATGTCTGGACCAGTGGGCAGGGCAGGGGAGGTTCAGAGAAGTGCTTGTTGAGGTTGCTGGAGAGATCATGGGATTAGAAACGGGCCACGAGGCCTTGTTGCCGAGATCCACGTCACATGGTCTAAGTAGGGGGTCTGAATCCCTCCCGCCTGGCCGAAGTAGGTCCCGCTGAGGATGCAGCTGGTCTCCGCCAAGGCAGTCCCTCCCGTGGCCCGTGGCAGTCTTTGTCCTGCTGTTCAGTGAACTTTGCTCACCATGTGTGCCACCCCCTCTCCCACTAGGCAAGGATGACCAGTTGTCAAGGCCACGGGGCCCCGTCCCACCTCTTGCCTTCCACTCTACCAATTCAGTTACTGCGGACCAGGTGCTGTGCCCCATTCTGGGGACACAGAGGCTGAGCCCTATGTTTCGGAGGGTCAGTAGCAGTGGTGAAGGGGATGGTCACTGTGTCAACAGTCCAGGTCCTCCAAGAAGCAGAAGCCAAGAGGGGATTAGATGTTCAGGAGATTTATCGGTGGGGATTCATGTAAAGGATAAAGGGACACGAACAGGAGGATAGAGGGACAGCATGCAGACTGAACCCCTGTGAAGGAGAGAGGAAAGGAAGGAAGCTTGGTCCTGAGCCCCAGACCGCTTCGGCCAGGCCGGCGGAGAGTCCCTGAGCAAAGGTCGCTGGTGGGAAGAATCCCATTTGGGGCAAACTTGGCCTGTTTCTAATAAGCCCATCATGGGCCGTCATTGATGGGAAGCAGCCTGGGAAGAGTGTGGCTCAGAGTGAACACAGGTGGCGCCAAAAGTTGCAGCTGGGGCCTATTAATGAGCTGTGCTTCCAGAAGCAGGTTCTTGCAGCAGCAGATCTGAAAGGGCACCTCTGTAGACACCACTGCCAATTCCTTCTACAAAGGCCTCTAACAGAGATTGATGGGGCTCTACTTTTACATCTAAACATTCCCTGAGTGGCCCTAGCCGATTTGCCTCAGTGGATAGAGCATCCGCCTACACACACAGAAGGGTCCCGGGTTCGATTCCAGTCAAGGGCACATGCCTGGGTTGTGGGCTTGGTCCAACGTGCAGGAGGCAGCCAATCAATGATTCCCTCTCATCATTGATGTTTCTACCTCTCCCTCTCCCTTCCTCTCCGAAATCAATACAAATATATTAAAAGCAACAACACATTCCCTGAGTGGGTTTTCTGGTCTACCACCGTAATAGAATATACACCTTTGTCTGCAGGGGCCTTCATCCTTGCACTTCTCTGAGCTCTGCTAAGTGGGTGGGTGGGTATTTTGGGAGCACCTTCAGGGGCCCCTGATCATCCAGAAGTAGCAAAAGAGAGGAAGGGGGTGTTGAACGGGCACCTCTGTAGACACCACTGCCAATTCCTTCTACAAAGGTCTCTAACAGAGATTCATGGGGCTCTACTTTTACATCTCAACATTCCCTGAGTGGCCCCAGCCCGGTGGCGTCCGTGGGCACGACCCCCCCGCCCCCTGGGAGGCCTCAGGTGGGGGTCCGTGGGGCGGGCCTGGGAGATGAGCGGAATTCGGCTTCCAGGCTTCCTTCTCTACATTCCTGCCATTTTCAGATGGTGGTTATTGTTACTTTCGTAATTTAGAAAAAAGATGCCCGCTTCATTTAGTATTAAAAGCCCTTTCAGCGCTCGGAGGAAGCCGACCCGCGAGGGGACGGGGAGGCGTTTGCAGGGGGTCCTGGGTTTTGCGTGGATTCCGCCAGGTGCGCCGGGACGCGCAGGCCTTCGGCTCTTCCTGGGCTCGGTGTGCTCCGCTGGCTTCCGTCAGGTCCCGGGTCCTTATTAAGACTCCCTCCTCCCGAGGCTTCCAGGATCCCAGGAACGAGAATGCCCTGGCTTCCTTTGGCAGGTGCGTCCACTTACATCTGCTCGTTCGCCCAGTTAACCCCTTCATTGGAGACGGGGGGGTCCTCAAAAAGAATTAAAAATAGAAAACCCCTTCATTGGAGACAGGGGGGGGGGGCGGCACCGCGATCGTCCGGTCCGTCCCCCCCACCCCCCAACCTTGTGTCGTCGAGAGGCGTGGGCTGCCTGCCTCCTGCCGGACTTGGTGGTTGGGAGAGAGAGAGAGCGAGAGAGAGCCAGCGAACCCACAGACACGGAGGATGATTTCAGGCTGCGAGAGGTGCTGCCAGAAGCGGAAACGATGCATGTGATGGGGGAGGCAGGGGAGGCTGTCGGAGGAGGTGCTGTCTGCGGAAAGCCCCGGAGAAGGAGCCTGTCCCGGGCCCGGACAGACGGATGTGCCAGCCAGCGGGGCGTGGGGGGAGCAGAGGCCGCGGGGCTGCGGGGCAGTCCGCAAGATGGCACAGCTGAGTTTTACTTGAAAAGCCACGGGAAGCCACGGGGTGGTTTTAAGCAGGAGAGGGACAGGATTTGGTTAACGTTTTAAATGACTTACCTGGTTGCTGTTTGGAGGCGGTCAAGGGTAGCCGTGGGCCGGCGATTTAAAAGCTCTGGCGGCCGGAGCCGCTTTGGCTCAGTAGTCACAACCTGCAGTCTCCCAGGTTGGATTCCGTCAAGGGCCTGCTAATTGGTTGCAGGCTGGAGGCCCGGACCCAGGGGCGCTTGCAGAAGGCAACCAATTGATATGCGTCTCTCTCACATCCTTGTCTCTCTCTCTTTGTCTCTCTCCCTCCCTTCCACTCTTTCTAAACAAAAAAAAAAGAAATTAAAAAAATCAGTGGATAAATATTCTTGGGTGAAGATGAACAGTACTTAAATAACATAGAAAGCTATTGCAGTAGAACCCCAATGCTCCTTTCCCCTGTCTCTGCTTTCTCCTCTCATGCAAATAGAATCTGCACTCTCTTCGCAGTTATAACCGAAGAAAAAAGAATGAGTAAAAAGCATGTGAACTTGTCACGGTTACTAAACATTTTTTAAAAAGCAAATTAAAAAATAATTTGTCAAATGGCAGAAAACAAAAATAACTCAGTGCTTATACTGTTGTTAGATAAGGCAAAGGTCTCAGGGTCTGGGCAGTTTTTACTAAATGCTATGTTGCTAATGCTAAAAGGTAGCACAGTATTTTGAAGACTCAGCTGCAACTTGGTGAGCTTGACCTGAAGCTTAGCCAGCTGCAAAGAAGAAAACGTCATTAATTGAATAGTGCGTACCAGCAATGGCTAAACCTCTGTTCTGGGAGACAGAACTTTGGATATGAATCCCCTGTCTCCTTTACTTGTGGCAAATAAATAAAACTACCTGAGGACAACCACATCTTGTTCTTGAATAGAATATCCCAGCCAGGGAACCCCTTGAGTTCAGTAGCACTATCATCCCTTACATTGCTAATACCAAAAAATAAAAAATAAAAATTTTAAATAATGCGTTACCCTGCTTCAAGAGCCTTAGGAGAGTCAAATTCTTTGAAGAAATGATTACATCTGGGGGAATCTATCCTGATGGGAAAATAATATAGACAGTGGTAATGAGAATTGAGGGAAGAGAACCAGTCTGATCATTGTTGTACCATCATAATTTCTATAGTGAATCAAATCGTGCTTATAACTTGAAATTTAAGAATGAGCCCCTGAACTTGTGATGACCCCACAAGTGCACATATACCATGAGTTCTTGTTTAATCAGCCAGACAGTTATACTCTGCCATCATCCTTGAAAAAGGAAAATTTTGCTTCTAATTATAAAAGCAACATATGCTAAATGCAGTAATTTTTTAAAAAAATCCTCACTGAGGATATTTTTCCCATTGCTTTCTAGAGAGAGTGGAAGTGAGGAAGGAGTTGGGGGGAGAGAGAGAAACATTAAAGTGACATGAGAGAGACATATTGATTGGTTGCCTTCTGCACAACCCAGGTTGGGGAACTTGCAACCGAAGTACCCGCCCTCGTGAGGGTCAAATCCAGGACCCTTTGGGTCTGCAGACTGATGCTCTAACCATTGAGCCACCTGCCAGAGGTAAATGCAGATAA